AAATATCTACTGATGATGATGAATGTCATGGTATATAAAAATAGATGAACATTTTTTTTTCAAAAGAATTATAATATTCTGTGTATACGTATGTTCCGTTTTTTTGTTATCAATGTTATTTTCATTTTCCTCATTATTTGAATTTATTCAATAAAATAATGATCTGCATATGATTGACAAGTGTTTAAATTCGCGCCATTTTGATACAAATAAATTAAATATTGTGCTATTCAAATAAAAATGATATTATCGAAAATATGTCTTATTTACGTGATCATTTGTGCCAAGAAAATGACGAAATGTGCCATGTTACCAACAAAGATAATACATATAAATAGATCAATTCCCGTTTCTAGACCCTTTCCTTACTGCCTACAGAATATAGAAAACAACATACTTGAGTTTATTCATATATGTCATGAATCATATAAGAAGTAAACAATACTATTTATACATATAACCGATGTCTGAAAACGTGCTTACTTTGCCAATTTATATAATTAAAGTTTTTTCTAGGCACAGTAGTTGTCTTACAGCTTCTACATCTACTTAAAAAGACACCTCCACATAATTCTTTTAAGTGAGATTAATTTAGTAAAACTAAAAATATAATCTTTGAACTTTCAGAATGTCTAGAAAATATCATGAATAATATTGAATGCATATATGTGTTTACAATTCAATGATTTTGTATTAATATTCACTTCATTAATATTATCCACAGCGATTGTGGGTGAATGTGAATGTGGGCGATGGATAGATGTAACACCTTTATTTTTACACTCATATTCATATCCTCGAGCATTGTTGATTATTCCAGATGATTCAAATGCATATTAATAACATAGTGATTAATTTTCAATATTTGCTATAAAAGAAAATATGATAAAATTAGAATATTTATGAATTTATTTTGTTGCTAAGTAATTCAAAATGTAATAAATTCTTATATATGATAATTTAAATTGATTAAGAGTCTATGATGTGTCTATCAGTATTTGTTAATATTAACTTTTATATATTTCAACTTGTTATTAAAATCATAAAAATATTTATTTTGTTTCACAATATGTTGAGATTTTTCATTTTTATCTAATTTCTATAAACATTTCTATTATATCGAAATGCGATGAAATTATTTTTTAATGTGTTTTTATTCTTATTATTAGTGAACATTTGATTAATCTTGAGGGCGTGGGCGATAAGTGTACTGAATGCAAAGCCAAATATATAAATAAAACTCGAATTGACATCTCATCTGAATGTGTAAATCGAACTCGAGGTAGAGCCTAAACCTTTATTTCAACATACGATTTCAATTCGAATACAAAACTACACACTTGCGAAAAACTTGGACTTCTATCTACTGAAACATTTTGAAAGTGTAGATATTTGTGGGTATTTTCTCACTCTTCATTCTCCCGCACATGTTCTGATCATCCTGAATGGTTTTTATTCTATTAGAGGGCGTGGGTTTGGCAGATATGGGTGATGAGAAGAGTATCACACTCATACCCATACCCTCAACATATTAAAAGATTCATTAGTTTTTCATTTTCTCGAGTTTTTTAAACAAAATAAGAAATGAATGAAAAATTTTGGATCCGATGATTCACGCTATTAGCAATAAGATGGTTCCTACCTGTAGCAAATGTGATACCATTGAAATAATTTAAATGATTTGATCCTTCTTCTTGCTCATTATCATTAAGAATCCAATCAACAAGACGGTGATTAGCAAAATCAGTAATATAAATATTATTATTTTCATCTATAGGTTTATTTTAAATATAAGGTGAAAAAACGATACGAAACAAAAT